ATTTATGAGACTCTTGTCTCTAACTTGCAAAAACCTAGAAATGGATTTATAGGTCAAGTGGTAGCATATCAGCCTTGAGCAAAAAGGTTAAGAGAAAATACCCAGGCCTGGACATCTGCCCAGAACATCACAAGCTATGATACCATAAGGACACTTGCACATCCATGTTCATTGCTGCACAGTCACAATAGCCAAGTTGTGGAAACAACCAAGATACCCTACAGTAGACAAGTGGATCCAAAAAAATGTGATAACTATACATAATGGAATTTTACATAGCCATTTGAAAGAATAGTATGTCATTTGCAGGGAAATGGATGGACGTAGAACGAATCATATTAAGTGAGGTAAGCCAGAGTCAGAGACAAAAGGTGTATGTTTTCTCTCATATGCAGAAGCTAGATCTAAAATACTGGAACATAACAAATTATAGAGGTCTTTAGGCATCCACACATAGTGAAACCAAAGGAGGATACTCTTAGGAGAGGACCAGAAAGGCACAATGCCTATGTGAATCTGATCATACAAAATATTTATTAAAATGAACTCCAGGAAATGAAAACAAGAGGTTTTTCTTTTCTTTTCTTTTCTTTTGTCAGATATGGGGATTGAACTCAGGGCCTTGGTGCTGTCTCTGAACTTTTGCTAGTGCTAGTGCTCTACCACTTTGAACCACAGTGCCACTTCTGGTTTTCTGGTGGTTAATTAGATATGCCCTGACTAGATTCCAACTGTGATCCTCAGAATTTTAGCCTCCTGAGTAGCTAGGATTACAGGCATGAGACACTGGCAACCAGCTCCTCTTTTTATTTTGTTTGGTTCATTTATATGTCTTTGGGGGTGAACAGGAGGAACAAACATTGAACAAATGCAGCAATGATACTCACTGGACACTATGTTGAAAATGAACTCTACACCTTGTGGGCGGGGATGGGAGGGAAAAACTGGGAGTGAGGGAAGTGGTAACATTGTCCAAAAAGAAATATACTTAGCCAAGTGCTGGTGGCTCAGCCTGTAATCCTAGCTACTCAGGAGACTGAGTTCTGAGGATCACAGTTCAAAGCCAGTCTAGACAGGAAAGTCTGTGAGACTCTCATCTCTAATTAACCACCAGAAAACTGGAAGTAGAGTGTGGCCCAAAGTGCTTTGAGCAAAAAGGCTCAGGGATAGCACCCAGGCTCTGAATTCAAGCTCCATGACCTACCGAGAGAGAGAGAGAGAGAGAGAGAGAAAGAGAGAGGGAGAGAGAGGTACTCTTTACCTGAGTTATGTCACTGTAACCCCTCTCTATATCACCTTTATAATAATAATAAAATTAGGGCTGGGAATGTGGCTTAGTGGTAGAGTTCTTGCCTGGCATGCATGAAATCCTGGGTTTGATTCCTCAGTACCACATAAACAGAAAAAAACTGGAAGTGGCGCTGTGGCTTAAGTGGTAGAGCGCTAGCCTTGAGCTGAAGAGCTGAGGGACAGCACCCAGGCCCAGAGTTCAGGCCCCACGACTGGATCAAAAAAATATCTTCCATATCCTCCACCCCAACACATATTCACAACCTCCGTTACATCATGCATGCACAGTGCATGCAATGAAAGTAAGGTAGGTTTTTTGTTTTTGTGAATATGGGTCCTGGGCTTGAACTCAGAGCCTAAGTGCTATCCTTGAACTTTTTTTTTTAATCCCCCTTTCTCAAGTCTAGTACTCTACCACTTGAGCCACAGTTACATGTCCAACTTATTTGGTGGTTGATTGGAGATAAGAATCTCATGGATAAGCCGGGTGCCAGTGGCTCACGTTTCTAATCCTAGCTACTCAGGAGGCTGAGATCTGAGGATCATGGTTCAAAGCCAGCCTGGGCAGGAAAGTCCTTGAGACTCTTATCTCCAATAAACCAACCGGAAGTGGCGCCATGGCTCAAGTGGTAGAGCACTTGCCTTGAGCTGAAGAACTGAGGGACAGCACCCAGGCCCAGAGTTCAAGCCCCACAACGGGGGGGGGGGGGGGGGGGGGGGAAGAATCTCATGGACTCATCTGCCTGGGCTGGCTCCAAACAATGGTCATCAGAGCTCAGCTTCCCAAGTAGCTAGGATTATAGGCATGAGCCACCAGCACCCCGGTAAATAGGGATTATTGAAGCCTAACTTTGATTGTTCTTTTTCTTCTTCTTTTAGATAGGATCTCACTATGTATCCCAAACCAACCTCAAATTGAAATTCTCTGTCTCAGCTTCCCTAGTGAGGGGATTATAGGTATAAACCACCATGCCCGGCTCAATTTTGCAATGAGTTATACTAATTGATGGGTATTTAAACTTATTACATATATGTGTATATACATAAATATATAAAACATATATATAATGTGTTTAACATTTATTATTAAACTTAACATGTATGCTTAACAAAATGTATCTTTTGTTTTTGTTACTGATCCTGGGGCTTGAACTCAGGGTCTGGATGCTCTCTCTGAACTTTTTTGCTCAAGGTTAGTGATCAACCACTTTGAGCCACTTCCAGACTTTTGGGTAGTCAATTGCAGATAGAGTCTCTTGGACTTTCCTGTCCCTCAGATCTATATCTTGAGTAGCTAAGTTTACAGGTGTGAGCCACCAATGCCCACCCTTATCCATCTGTTTAAGAAAATAATTCCTAGGTAGCTCATGTCTGTAAACCTAGCTACTCAAGAGGCTGAGATCTGAGGATCGCACTTTGAAAAACTCAGCCCAGACAGGAAAGCCTGCATGAAGGACTTGTCTCTCTCTTCTTGATCTAATCCTTTTATGTATCCAAAGATGGAATATAAAGCATTGACCCCCACCCTGTTTTCCCGGGTGTATTTGGATATCAGGCAAGCCGCCAAAGATACACGCAGACTTAGCCTGGCTGTTTTATTCCATGGTGAGCCCACCTGAAAAGCCCCTTCCCCCAAGACCTAATGGCTTTTTCATTCACCTCAGCCTCCTTGCTCAGACTCCTGTCCTACCTCTTTGCAGTCTCCAAGCCTGGAGGAGGGTGTGCCACCCACTGCTGTATCTCAATGAACAGTCCTCGCCTGTGGAAGATCTAGTCTGGCCTGTTTCCTTCCTATCTCCTCCATTTTCCTAACACTGTGAGCATCTTACTTCCAGCTATTTACCAAAACAGCTGGAAATGAGGAGGGCTCTGGTGGCTCACACCTGTAAACATAGCTACTCAAGAGGCTGAGATCTGAGGATCATGGTTCAAAGCCAGCCCAGCCAGGAAAGTCCACGAGATCCTTCCTGAGTTCAAGCCCACAAGTGACAAAAAAAAGTTGGAAGTGGAGGTATGTTCAAGTGGTAGATCAACTAACATTGAGGAAAAAAAGCTCAGGGACAGGCCTAGGACCTTAGTCCAAGGAAGGAAGGGAGGGAGGAAAGGAGGAAGAAAGGATGGAAAGATGAAAGAAAGGAAGGGGCTGGGAATGTGGTTCATTGGTAGAGCACTTGCCTTGCATGCATGAGGCCCTAGGTTTGATTCCTCAGCACCACATAAGCAAAAAGAAAAAAGCCAGAAGTGGTGCTGTGGTTCAAGTGGTAGAGCGCTAGCCTTGAGCTGAGGAGCTGAGGGACAGTGCCCAGGCCTAGAGTTCAGGCTCCACAACCCGAACCCCCCCCCCAAAAAAAAGAAAGGAAGGAAGGAAGGAAAGAATTTCAATACTTTTTTACTGTTTCAGGTTTGGTGATCAAATAAACCATATATTAAATTAGGGATGTAGCTTAGTGGTAGATTTTAAATAGTGTATGTAAAGCCCTAGGTTTGATCCCTTATACTATGATAAATAAGTAATGAGAGAGACACAGACAAATTCATCCTGTTATTCATAATTGTAATGCTTAGTCTAAAAAATATTTTAATACCAAGAGCCTATAGCCCAAAGATGTTTTCTTACATTGTAAAATCAATTTACATATGCATTTTTGTTTTCGAAAATATGATTGGACAATCAATAAAAGATGTTGAAACATAAAAATAGCTGACACTTGGATCCTGGTCTTAAGAGATGTGGAATAAAGTGAGTTCAAGGAGAAAAGAGAAGGATTAAACATTTTTACACTACCAAAGGGTTTCTTGTTCATCTGAAAAATGAACGACAGTGTCAGATTACTCTGCTACTTAGATTCTAATGGATACACTTAACAGTGAAATATCAGTTTTATTTTTAAACTATCCCATGCAAACAATCTGCAGAGTGCATTTAAGCCTACCATTAAAATTACAGATTTCAACTTAAAAATATGTGAAGAGACTGTTTTCAGCATTTTTTTTGTGTGTGTGTCCATATTGGGGATTGAATTGAGTCCTTTAGCTTTTTTTGCTCATGAGTGACACTCAATTGCTTGAGCCACAGCTCCAGTTCTGACTTTTTGGTGATTAATTGGAGATAAGAGTCTCATGGACTTACTTGGCTCAGATGGCATTGAATGGTGATCCTCAGACCTCAGTCTCCTGAGTAGCTAGGATTACAAGCATGAGCCACCAGTGCCTCGCTTGATTTTCGGCATTTTAAAGGGAATGTCAGGGAGGAAAAAAATTTTAAGACAATGCTTTCAACTAATCTCTTATGACATCATCCTGTCACAACATCGAGTTCTTACTTTTTTTTTTTTTTCAATATCCTGAGCACCAGCCATGACAGGTCACTATGTCTGCAATTTGGGGGTTGGGGCAGGGAGTCCTAATCTGAGGTTTTTTTGGACCTGACCATGCCACACATCTACTTTGAACTGGGGAGTGAGGAGTGGTTACAGGGTCATGTACCAAGGCTTAAATTGGACAAACTAAAAATAAACCAGCCCGGAGACCTCATGGCTGAACTATTTCAAGAAAACGCAGTTCCATTTTGGTGGGCATGATTTGACTCATACCCCATACACGGCAGCATGTAATTACCAGCTTCATTTTAATGGACTCCTACCAAATGTGTGCTGCTGGCTCCTAAACGGGGAGAGCAGCAGCAGGTCTTCCCGTAACTAACTGCAATGATGGACACCCCTGCCCCCACCATGTTGGAGCCGGTTTCTGGAACTCCAAGTAAAGCTCTGCTGTCGCCTCTCCAAATGCTGAAACTTTCTACAGAGAAAGTAGAAAATGGCCAGAAGCAGACGTACACCCAAATGGTTGTGGAAATGCTTGAGGAAGCAGCTTTGTGATGGATGTAGCTGTGGGCTTGGGAAAGGAGTGGAGGTCCACTCTCCATGTCAACACTAAGGAAAACCTGAGGTCACTCTGATTAGTATAGTTGTTTCTTAGTGTCATGAGGGACTGGCTCTGGGCCCTCTGGAGGCCCAAATCTACCTATACTCAGTCCCTCATATAAAACTACATAGAAGGCCTTGGTGGTTCAAGGCTTTGATCTTAGCTACTCAGGAGGCTGACTGAGATCTGAGGATTGTAGTTTGAAGCCAGTCCAGTTAGATAAGTCCATGAGACTCTCATCTCTAATTAACCAGTAAAAACTGGTAGTGGAGGTGTGGCTCAAGTGGAGGTATGGCTCAAGTAGCTAGTCTTGGATGGAAAAAGTCAAGTGAGAACTTGAGGACCTAAGTTCAAGCTCCAGGACAGGCACTCTCTCTCTCTTTCCCTCTCTTCCTCTTTTCTTCTCTCCCTCTTTTCCTCTCCCCATCTCTCTCTCTCTCACACACACACACAGGTAATTAACACTTGTATAATAATAACACGTGTATATAATATGTGTACATCTTCTGGTACACTTTAAATCATTTCCTTTTTAAAAAATAATTTTAACGGTTATTTTTTCTTTTCTTTTATTTAATCTTTTTGTTGTTGTTGTTGGTTGTGGGGCTTGAACTCTGGGCTTGGGTGCTGTCCCTGCACTTTTCAGCTCAAGGTGAGCGCTCTACCGCTTGAGCCACAGTGCCACTTCTGGTTTTCTAGTGGTTTATTGGAGATAAGAGTCTCACGGACTTTCCTGCCCAGGCTAGCTTTGAACCATGATCCTCAGATCTCAGCCTCCCGAGTAGCTAGGATTATAGGCATGAACCACCAGTGCCTGGCTTATTTTATTAATCTTATGTGGTACCAAGGAGTCAAACCTAGGGCCTCATGCATACTAGGCAAGCACTTTACCACTAAGCCATGTTCCCTGCCCTAAATTGTTTCTATATTACTGATAACAATATGATGTAAACACCATGGGAATACTTATTCTGTACTGCTTAAGGAATAATTACAAGAAAAAGTATGTACACATTTAGTATAGACATCTTACTTTGGATACTATTTTCAGAGGACTTTGGACATGTTTGTGAACATCTGTCTATCCAGCATGAGATCCTGAGTTCAAACCCCAACATCAACAAAAAAGAGAGAGTATTTCAGTATGTAGTTGGTTGAACCTACAGATGTAGAAGCCATGGATATGGAAGGCTAAGTGTACTTCTAGCCACACTATGTGAAGCTGTGCTTAGTTTGCAGAGTTTACAAGCAACAGTGCTTGGAATTGGGTAGGACAATAGGGACTTGTTTCAGTGTAAGAGATTTTTTAAAATAGGTAGCATCCATTTATGCACAGAACTCTTTTGGCTTGAACATTGTTTAATTACATTTTCTATTTGGACATAGTTGTAGTTTTGCATGCAGTTATAAAAATAATTTATGGTTAGGAGTTTTGGTTGGAAGTAGAGGGCTTGCTTAGCATACACAGGCCTAGGTTTCAATCCCAGCACTACAAAACAAACACAAAGGAGAAAAAGAGAAAGAAAGGAAGGAAGGGGAAGGGAGAAGGCAAAGAAGAAAGGCAAAGGAAAGAAGGAAGGAATAAAGAAAGAAACAAGGAAAGAAAAAGAAACAAAGGAACAAAGAAAGAAAGAGGGAGGGAGGAAAGGAAAGGAAGGACAGAAAGAAGGAGAAGAAACAAAATGCACAGAGATCTTATTCACCCATTATCCTCTATCCAGTTTTCCCCAGTGGGATCAGCTGCTGCATGTGACAGCCAGACATCACACTCAGCGAAGACCTAGAATGTTCACTGCAGCACAAAGCCCTCTGTTTTCATAACCACACCCACTTCCCCTATACTGCAAATCCTTACCCCATGGGAACCACTATCTGTTCTAGTTCTCCATTTCTATATTTTTATCAGTTGAAAGTATTACATAACTGGAACGCTTGAGTATGTGAACTTTGGCTCTTTCACCTACTCCTTGTAATTCTCTGAAGATTCATCCTGTCCTTGTGCATATCAAGTTTGTTTCTTGGCAGATGCCAGTGACTCATGCTTGTAATCTACTCTGGAGGTTGAGATCTGAGGATCATGGTTCAAAGCCAGACTGAGCAGAAAAATCCATGAGAATTTTTATCTCCAATTAGCCAGTAAAAAGTGGAAGTGGAACTATGGCTCAAGTGATAGTGCCAACTTTGAGTGAAGTTAAGGGACAGTCCATGCCCTGAGTTCAAATTCAAGTACCAGCATCAAAAAAAAAAAAGGTTTGTTTCTTTGTATGCAGAGTGCTAATGGAAGTATCTCTGAAGTATTCTGAGTTTGAGGCTACTAGGAATAAAGCTGCTGTATAGATTTCTGTGTGACCATACTCTTCATTTCTCTGGGATAATGCTTAGAAGTGTAATTGTTAGGTCACATGATAGTTACATGTTTAACTTTTTTTTGAAACAAGATCTCTCTTTTTCTTTCTTTCTTTCTTTTTTTTTTTTTTTGTCAGTCATGGCGCTTGAACTCTGGGCTTGGGCACTGTCCCTGAGCTCTTCAGCTCAAGGCGAGCACTCTACTGCTTGAGACACAGCTCCACTTCTGGTTTTCTACTGGTTTATTGGTGCTAAGAGTCTATTGAAAGAAGATCTCATTATATAGTCCAGGCTGGCCCTGAACTTGAGATCCTCTTGCCTCCTGAGTGCTGGGATTGTAGGCATGAACCACCACACTCAGCCTGCATCCTTAATTTTTTTTTTTTTTTGTTGGTCGTGGGACTTGAACTCTGGGCCTGGATGCTGTCCAAATTGCCCCATTTGTTAGGAAATGGAAAGACTTCGAAAAAAGTATATTAAGTGAAGTAAGCCAGGCCCAAAGAAACATAGATCGCATGGTTTCCCTTATTTGTAATAACCAGTATATGTCTGAGACAAGCAGAAAAGGTCAGATAAGTTGATGTTAGGGAAATGAACCCTAAGATATGTATTCACATTTTTTTTCTTTCATGCGATTGTTTCTAACACATTTATAAGATTATTTCTTTGTTGCTTTGTATGTCCCTCCCCCACAGTATAACCCCTGCTTTCACTGCATTTGATGTCGGTATAATCTGTGGAGGGGAAGGGGAAAAACAAATCCTTTAAATAGGGGTACAGGTGGACGCATTACAACAACGAGATGAACAAGTCGTTATGTCGAAAACGAACGTTCTTCAGCTCAAGGCGAGTGCTCTACTGCTTGAGCCACAGTGCCACTTCTGATTTTCTAGTGGTTTATTGGAGATAAGAGTCTCAAGGCCTTTCCTGAGTGGGCAGGCTTTGAACCGTGATCCACAGATCTCAGCCTCCTGAGTAGCTAGGATTACAGGCATGAACCACTGGTGCCTGGCTTGCATCCTTAATTTTTAAAGAAAGTGCTGGATGGCTGTCTAGAAGGGCTGTACCATCGCATATTACCACCATCCAAAACTGCCCTCATCAGTCTTCTGTTGGCACTCTTTGTTATTTTAGCCATGCAATAAATGTGGCATCTCATTGTTGCACAGTATTTTAAATTTATACAGTTTTCCTTTTTCAGACTTCTACTTGTAGTATCTTTTATGTGGACATTAATTTGAACCAATTTTATTAAGTAAAAAGCATGTAAAATAGGAGACTCTGAGTGAATCTTTACAATGTCTGCTTTTGTCACTTAGTGGGTGACCTCCCCTCCCCAGAAGCTGCTACTCCCACCCCCAAAAGCACATGTCAACCCCTTGTTCCTACTTCAAGGGCATTTTGGGGACTGAGGAAGGTCATTCTGAGCATGTGGATGCTCTGGGGTTGCCAGTTCATCTTTCTTTCTCCTGCTTTGCTGGGTCAGCCCTTCCATTTATGGATGTAGGATTGAACTGGATACAGGCCCTGTCCCCATGCTTTCTCCATCTCCAATGGCTCCCCATCCGCCTGCTATTTCTAATTTGCTGAGGGCTGGGAAACTGTATAACTGGTCATTTGAAACTAAATATTCAAGCAGAATCAAGAAGCACTTCGGCTAGCTACTCAGAGGCCTTGCTCATCTTCTGGGCTCAGACTTGTAGAGACTGAAGTTGACAGACAGGTGGCTTTTCTGAAATTCAGGTCTGTGACAGATTCAGAGAGTGAAAGGGCATGTGGATATTTATAGCCATTTATCTAATTAGAAACCTCGTAGCATCTTTAAAGATTAGGTGTGAGAGCCTGGTATGGGTGGCTTATATAAGCTACTCAAGAGGCTGAGATATGAGGATCGAAGTTCAAAGCCAGCCTGGGCAGGAAACTCCATGAGACCCTTATCTCCAATAAACCACTAGAAAACGAGAAGTGGTGCTGTGGCTCAAGTGGTAGAGCACTTGCCTTGAGCTGAAGAGTGCAGTGACAGCGCCCAAGCCCAGAGTTCCAGCTCTACAACTGACAAAAAAGAAAAAAGAAAGAAAAAATAGAAGTGGAGTTGTGGCTCAGGGGGTAGAGTACTATCCGAGTAAAAAAAGCTCAGGGACAGCATCCAGGTCCTGAGTTCAAGCTCCAAGACACACAAAATGATTTTGTATAAGGACAGATTTAGTTTGCTATTGCTTAGTTGCTAAGTGAAGGAGTTAAGCTAGTCTAGGGTTAAATCTCCTGCCTAGTGATAAATTTATATATATATATATATATATATATATATATAATATATATATAATGTGTGTGTGTGTGTGTGTGTGCTGGTACTGTGGCTTGAACTCAAAGCCTCATGCTCTTACTTGGCTTTTTCCTCTCAAGACTGGCTCTCTATACTTGAGCCATAGCTCCACTTCTAGCTTTTTGGTGGTTAAGTGAAGATAAGAGTCTCAGGAACTTTTTGTTTGTTTGTTTGTTTGGTCCGGTAGTAGGGCCTGAACTTTGGGCCTGGGCGCTGTCCCTAAGCTCTTCAGCTCAAGGCTAGCACTCTACC